GATGAGGTTGAGCGTGTCAGATCTTATGCATGTCTAGCTCTCGGGAGAATGAGTGACAAAGCAGCAACTTCTGAAGTGATTAGAGCACTACTGAATGCACTTGGTGATGAGAATGAGTGTGTCAGATGTTATGCATGTCTAGTTCTCGGGAAAATGGGTGACAAGGCAGCAACTTCTGAAGTGATTAGAGCACTACTGAATGCACTTGGTGATGAGAATGAGTGTGTCAGATATTGTGCATGTGAAGCTATCTGGAAAATGGGTGACAAAGCAGCAACTTCTGAAGTGATTAGGGCACTAAGCAATGCACTTGGTGATGAGCAGGTCCGTGTCAGAATGTCTGCATATAGAGCTCTCGAGAAAATGGGTGACAAAGCAGCAACTTCTGAAGTGATTAGAGCACTAAGCAATGCACTTGGTGATGAGAATGACCATGTTAGACAGCGTGTATGTGAAGCTCTGGGAAAAATGGGTGACAAAGCAGCAACCTCTGAAGTGATTAAAGGACTACTCAATGCAGTTGATGATGAGAATGACTATGTTAGAGAGCATGCATGTGAAGCTCTCGCGAAAATGGGTGACAAAGCAGCAACCTCTGAAGTGATTAGAGCACTAAGCAATGCACTTGGTGATGAGCAGGTCCGTATCGGAATTTCTGCATGTGACGCTCTCGCGAAAATGGGTGACAAAGCCCCCAACGTCTGAAGCGATTAGAGTACTGCTCAATGCACTTGGTGATGAGAATGCCAATGTCAGACATTTTGCATGTGTAGCTCTCGCGCAAATGGGTGACAAAGCAGCAACTTCTGAAGTGATTAGAGTACTGCTCAATGCACTTGGTGATGAGCAGGTCCGTATCGGAATTTCTGCATGTGACGCTCTCGCGAAAATGGGTGACAAAGCCCCCAACGTCTGAAGTGATTAGAGCGCTAAGCAATGCACTTGGTGATGAGCAGGTCCGTGTCAGAATGTCTGCATGTAGAGCTCTCGAGAAAATGGGTGACAAAGCAGCAACTTCTGAAGTGATTAGAGTACTGCTCAATGCACTTGGTGATGAGGATTCCATTGTCAGATATTTTGCATGTGTAGCTCTCGCGAAAATGGGTGACAAAGCAATAACCTCAGAAGTTATTAGAGCACTACTCAATGCACTTGGTGATGAGCAGGTCCGTGTCAGAATTTCTGCATGTGTAGCTCTCGGGAAAATGGGTGACATAGCAGCAACTTCTGAAGTGATTAGAGTACTGCTCAATGCACTTGGTGATGAGAATGCCAATGTCAGACATTTTGCATGTGTAGCTCTCGCGAAAATGGGTGACAAAGCAGCAACCTCTGAAGTGATTAGAGTACTGCTCAATGCACTTGTTGATGAGCAGGTCCGTGTCAGAAGTTCTGCATGTGACGCTCTCGCGAAAATGGGTGGTAAAGCAGCAACTTCTGAAGTGATTAGAGCACTAAGCAATGCACTTTGTGATGAGGACGTGGTTGTGCGAGATTCTGCATGTAGAGCTCTCGAGAAGATGGGTGACAAAGCAGCAACTTCTGAAGTGATTAGAGCACTACTGAATGCACTTGGGGATGAGAAGGACCTCGTTAGATATTCTGCATGTGTAGTTCTGCGTAAGATGGATAAGAAAGCATCGATTAACGATATTATGGTAGGACTGTTGGATGCACGTTGTATTGATAGTTGCTGTGTTAAAAAGAATATTGCTGAAGTGGTTGAGGAATCTGCCATTTCTGGGTTGGCGGTAGGATGGGTGCGTTCAGATGGTGTTTCGAAGATTTGCTTGAAGAAGCATTATTTAAATTATATAAAAAGGCTTTCCGTTGTTGAACTCATCAGCGGGTTTTTCCACACTGAAAATGTTGATTGGCTTCCTGTTATAACCATTGCTGCACTTCTGCAGGGTAGTGCAGTGACCGTTACTGGAAAGACTATTGTAGTATATGGTAGTAAGGATCCAGCGGTGGTGAACGCTTTCAGTTTGAATGATAGAAGACTGACTCTGAAATTGGTTGAAGCTTTTCTTGATCAAGCAAAAGGGCTTGGTTTATCTCGAGAACTGTCTAGCTCTTTTGTTATGTGGAATGCTGTCGAAAGTTGAAGTATGATATGAAAAGCGATTAGTTCGTTCGGCATTTTACTGTGTTATGGTTGATGGATTACTAAGTGCCTCGACACTGAGTGTTAGCTTAAGGTTGTGATTTGAAGAGTGATTATCGTATTATTGTCTTATGAAATGCTTTTCTCTGTTGTCTTTTCTGTTGTTCTTGATTTATTGCTGTAAAAACGTTTGAAAGTTTGTAGCGTAGAAGAATAAGAAATTATTTATATTCTTTATATATACTACTACGAATACTATTTAATGGTAGCGGACAGAATATATACAACGTTCCGAGAATGAAAAATAAACAAGAGTATAACGATAATCAATACAACCGTGGTGTTGATATTAGATTATATGAAACAGATCACGCTACATGCTGCCTCAAATGTTTGAAGAAAGCCATTGATCCGACGTCAAATGCATCAAAATTCCAAAATATCCGATTCACTGGTTATGTTATCAAAGCACTGAATCGTTATGAGTTGGTCAACAAATTTAGAGAAATTCTTGCACGTTTGGATATAATTCTATTTTGTTTACAGGACACAGCTTCAGAATAGGCGCAGCTGCATCTGTTGCTCAAGCTGGAGTTTCTGTCGATCTGATCGAAATTTTAGGCAGGTAGAGCTCACAAGCCTATCGCCGATGTATTTCACCTTAGGCTTGCTCGGCGATGAAAACTTTTCGGTTCATGAGCAGATTTTCTCTCTAATAATGGGTTGCATTCGGACATGTACGACATTCGAATTTAATGGTGGTTTCACACCCTTATTATCAACAAACAGTACGGCTTTTTGTCTTCATTCTTCGTATTTTTGGCACTGAGTGCCCTTGACGCCAATATACTTGTGGAAACGCAGGTTCTCTCAGTTCTCAGATTAGAAACGAGTAGATGTAATTGGTATGAAATATTAGTTAATGCTTGAGTATTAACGTTAGTTCATGCAGTTACGAGACAAGTTTTCTTTCCTTGTTCTTCTTGCAATAGTTAAATTTAGGCGTTCCGATACAATTTTTTGACAGATCACTGCCTGGATACGAAGATGTCATGTTTAGAAAATATTTTATTACTCTTTTCTCACTTGTTTAGTATTTGATCATATTTAGATCTGTCACCGGTCTTCCACCTCATTTTTATCAGCCATTTCTTGCCATTAATTCTACTACGCATTACACCACAACACATCGATAACCTGAACCAAAACAATACGCATCAAATCTTACCATATTAGCACTCCATATCATATCAACAAGCTCAATGCCCGAGCTCATTGCGCATTCTTGCTCACATGAACTCGCAATAGATGTATCCGTATCACAGGCAATTACAAATTTCAACTAATACAGCAATACAGACACCCTCGTCGGCCCTGACAGTGCTCCGTGTATGCAGCTTAATCCACGTTGAACTGTCACTATTAGCAGTACAGATGTCCACATATTGTACATAGGTTTTCATTCAAACCATATGCAGTATTTTGTAAAAGGAGTCGAACGAAACGGCTCTTTGTTGAAAGATGTTGCTGATAAAAAGCTAAAAAAGATTTGGAGTAGATATGACGGTAGTACTATTTATATTAGTCGAATTTCTACTATCTATAACAAAGAGAGCTCTAGTTTTTGCTATTCCAAAGAAGAGACTTGGGAACATGTTTTCATTAGCAGAAGTTTTTCAGAAGGTGTTTTGAAATAGATCTTCTAGGAGATCTTTGGGAAATGCGACTGTATCTCAAAAATTTCTAATAGGATTATATTGATTTCTTTTTCATAGATTGATAGCCCAGAGTATTCTCTTCAAAATGAGAGTCAAGCGAGACCTTGATTTTTAATGATTTGGATATGGTACTGGATTTTCTCGTAGTCACAGGAGTCGCATCCGGTGACTACTGGCAACCTCGGAAACGGACTGATTATAGCTAATTGATCATGTTGAGTTTCGCACTAATATTTGGTTTTTAGAAGAAGCTTTTACAACCTAGTTTTTCGAAAATTAGGATTTTCTGGCTGTTTTCAGCTAAAACTAAAAAATTCACAATTCAATCAAAGTACAGCAGAACGAGTTCAGAGCTACAAATTGTTAGTTTTATGCGCTAGATATGATTATAAAATCGAAAAAATTAGAAAATGATGTTATTGTTCATAGGTTTTTTAAAAAAACTAACTAACCATCTGGAGTTCTGAACTCGTTCTGGTGTACTTCGATTGAATTGTGAATTTTTCAATTTTAGCTCAAAACAAGTTTCAAAAGTGTTTTCTGAAAACAGATATTGGCACGAGACTCAGTATGATCGACATGTCTCCTCGACCGTTGGGGAAATTTACTAGGAAGGAAGAATGTCCTTGCTCCGATCGGAACATCACTGAAAACAAAACCCGGAGGACATATTTCAGGGTATTTTTTATGTAAAATTAGCCGTGTTTCGATAGAAAAGAACGGAAGAACAATATAATTACTTAGAATTACTTTATCAATGGTTTTAAAAATTTCTAATCGGATTAAAAAATGCCTTGTAATTCGATTTCCCTAAAACTAACAGTACTCGTGTGAGTCGGTCGAAAAAGTGGAAAAAGAAGACACCAGTAGTTGTATTCTCGTTTTGTGGTATTATGGGTCATTTCATATTTAATTTAAAAACGTCTGTTAAAATGCTTGTTTGCTTTTGTTTGCTTTTAGTTGAATGTTAACGTTGAATGTTAATGTTAAGTTTTTACACTAAAATCTTTGCTATTATCATGAAGATGAACGCCCGTTAATCAGTCTGTTCAAAACCCTTGAATATCCCACAAACATGAGTTTCTATCTTTCCAGGCACAATAGAAAGGAAAATTCATTCACATACACGCCGGTAAAAAGATGTGCACACAGTGGGATAAGAATGTTTTATTTTTCCAATGATCCTACTCTATTAACGTTCAGGGAATTTGTAAGTTTCTTTTCAAAAAAATCACTGAGATTTTATTATAGGGAAAAACGGTTGATTTAAACCTAAATAAAAGAAAATAATCAAGTCATTTCCTTTTGCAATGAGTTTGCTGGATTATGGAGTGGGGATTGCCTAAATTAGGCTCTGATAAATAAGCTATATCGTTCTCAAACTTTTGGCTGCATATTTCAAAAATTATACATTCACTCTCAGCACGGACTAACTAAACGGCTCGCGCAATTTTGTTGAAATCAAAAAGGTAAGACTGCTTTCTCAAATTTTCGGACTAATTCCCTCAAAAAGAGTTCGTTTCGATAAGATACTTCAGGAATAGTAAGAAAATTTCATTTACATCGTCTCATAAGACAAACATTTCAAACAGAAAAATCGAATGCTAGTTGGAAATTGTCCTAGCCAAAGAGAGTGGTCAACCTACGCTACACTAAGATGGTATGTATTCCTTCTCTCTAAGCTGCACACCCGTGTAAAGTTGAAAATTTTGTTCACTTTTTTTAAAATGATATAATACGCTGAAGTGTGAAAAAGTTTTAAAAAATGGCAATTTCAATAATCGATATACAGAATCAATATTACTGATTGGTATGTATTAGTGCATTACCATGATTATACTTTTACATACTTAACGGGAGTAACATAAAGAATGTCCACTTTTTATTTCAATTTTTTTCCTCTCCCTTTCAACCTACAGAACTCATTTTTCTATCAAAAGAATCGCCGTTTATTTCTCTACAAAACTGTGTATTCTATTCAACGAATATAATTTCCTTTGTTTTTTAAAATAAGACGCAGTTTTCATTTTGTAAAAGAACTGTCTGAAATTCTTCAAATGTAACACATTTTTTTGTCGAGAAATAAACAACGATTCGTTTGGCAGAAAAATGAGTTCTGTAGGTTGAAAGGGAGAGGAGAAAAATTGAAAATAAAAAAGCGGATTCTTTATGTTACACCCGTTAGCTCAGTCAAAAAGTTCCTTCACTTTGAAAAAGGTGCTGTTGTTTAACTCCAATCTAGACTCTTTTAATATTTTCTAAAAGACGTTTCGTTGATCTGATTTGATACTCTTCCGTGTAAAATAGATCTCCACATTTGCAGAGAAAGTCGTGTATAGACTGGTCGAAAGAGAACTCATTCATTTATTCAACACAGAAATTTATACCATCTATGAATTCAGCTGTTTCCACTATTAAAACCATTCCGAAAAAGTGCAGATAGCAAACAAAGGGAATAGGTTACCATTGCCATCTATGAAGAATTCCAAAGAGTTTTCCAAACTGTTCCCTTGCGAAGATAGCCCTTTTTGAATCAAGTACTACTTGACAATTTTTTAATTTTAGTTGAGAACAGCCAGAAAATCCTAATTTTCGAAAAACTAGGTTGTAAAAGCTTCTTCTAAAAACCAAACATTAGTGCGAAACTCAACATGATCAATTAGCTATAATCAGTCCGTTTCCGAGGTTGCCAGTAGTCACCGGATGCGACTCCTGTGACTACGAGAAAATCCAGTACCATATCCAAATCATTAAAAATCAAGGTCTCGCTTGACTCTCATTTTGAAGAGAATACTCTGGGCTATCAATCTATGAAAAAGAAATCAATATAATCCTATTAGAAATTTTTGAGATACAGTCGCATTTCCCAAAGATCTCCTAGAAGATCTATTTCAAAACACCTTCTGAAAAACTTCTGCTTGGTATGATATGGACTGCTAATACGGCCTAGCATGTGTCGATTAACACCAGGGCCAAGCACTTCCGATATTCGTCTATCATTTTTCTTTCACTCCATCTTCTGTTTTCTGAAATCATTGTATTTTTTCCAAATTGTAGAATATCGCTGTTTCAGTTGTTTCAAATCGTTTTTATACGTTTGTTTCATAATTGATTTTTCTTTATCCGTTGATTCACACCATCCTTTTAACTGTCCATTTTTCTCTTCAATGGTTTCGAAGTTTTGTTTTAAATCCATGTAAAGTCGTTGTGACCGAATACAGCTTTTTAACATTTTTTCATATTCCAGATTTAATAATGATAATTCCTTGCTATATTTTTCTTCTAAATTTGACGTTTCAACATCCTGTTGTAAACGTGTTGAAATTAGTAGTTGTTTTAATTCTGACACTTCTTTTTGAAGAGTTTCAACAGTTTTCAATTTATTCTGATAACTATTATTCATTGGAGCATTGACTTGTTCGCCGTATTGTTGTGATGAACCGTTCATTCCATCTTTTTGTGATAAGCACTGCTGATATCCATTGACTAATGAACGAAAATAAGTTGAACGCGATCGTTCAATGTATTTTTCCACTTTCACTTCACTATTGCTACCATATAAATAATGTGGTTTTCTTAGAATAATTATATCAATTGGATCATAGTCATCAAATTCAACAATTATTAGATTATTATGGATTTTTTTCAATGAACAAATATTACCGTATTGTTCAAAACAATTCCAAATAAGTTCATCATCTGTACCGTAAACGATTAATTTGTAAACACTAGTATTATGTTCTTGTGGATTATCAGCATTTATGGGTAGTGTCCGTCTGATATGTAAACGATGATTTTCAATTATGTGTGGCCGTGTATTCATCACAGTGTTGACCATTATGTCGTTCTGATAAGTAATGAAAGCATAGGGACTTATAAGAAATTGATTGAACTTTTTTGTAATGATATTACAATCGACAATTTTACCAAAACGTGAAAAATAATGTTTTAATTGATGAATATTAACTTCATAATGTAAATTACTAATATGAATACGATGATTGTAATTGGAATTATCACGCATCATTTTGTGAAGTTTTATCTGAAATCCAAAATAGTGACCTATCAAAAACAGAAGTTAAATATTTTAAAAGTTGGTGAATGAAAACAACTCAATAGCAAAAATTTACCATATGAGTGTAAAGAGTATGAAATTACATTACAGTTCTTGCACTGCGAAGGTATCAGCTGACCATAAATAGAACTAAAATACAAAGCAGTGCCATTGCAGTGAAATTACATCTTTGTGACTTTTAAAATGAGCAAGGTCATCAAAGAGACTCAAACATCAGAGAAACCATCCAGGACAACGAATTTTTAGAACTTTTTCATTGTGTAGAATGCGAAAAAACTATTTATCATAGCTAATGAAAATCGAAAAATGATCGGTCACGATGAGCCTGGTTTCGTCTACATTCAATCAGACCTCTAGATGAACATATATAGCACATTTTATTACACCGGACTACGAGGATGAAAAAACTACACGAAAACAGGATACCAAAGAATCATGATTCCACCGATATCTATAGACTGTACTACTGCAATACATAACATGTGTTATTCTATTCTTAGGGACCTGTGCATTTTTATCTGAATGATGGAAATGTATTAAGTCGCATTTTTTTCTCTTTCAATCAATCAATGAATATAATATAAATATCCAATGAACTTTTTTATTTCATAGTCAACTAGATATGTTTTTTCTTCTTGGGTATGACAACCAACACATCATCGACAACAGTTCTGTTTAAAACATGATCATGAACAATAAATTCATATTTTCATGTCTTTCATATTCATTCAGGTCTTTCATATTTTCTCTACTTCAGATCACCAAAAAAACTGATGACAACCAAATGCTCATTTCATTAGTATTTGTCACAGCTGTTTAATTTCAGACACAGAAATGTTCAGTAGCTTTCTTTGTGTCTCTTTATGTGTCTAGGACAAGAACAAGGAACATCTTGCTTTTTCCTTGCTCTACTATTCCATTTTCTTTCGTTAACTGAAAAAAAGCAGAAGGTAAACTAACATATTTATTACAACTGACTACAGTACTCTTTTATTCTGTCTCAGTGTATTATAAGACGCGTTTAAATATTGAAAAAACCAACAAAAAAAAATTTTTTTTTCACTTTTTTTTTTATAAATTTTGACTTGTATCGATTCGACTATTTGCTCTAAACTATTTTGCTTTATAATCACATCAAACATTATTCTTTATAACAAAATTCGATCGCAAGCGACGCAATATCGATCAAATAGGATAGTAGAAAACTTGTATAATATATATTTTCTCTTTATCAACAAACTACTATGATTCATCATTTTTTAAAATAAATCTACGTCTAACCGATTGATTTTGTGAATGAAATCGACTGCAAATGCCATTATTTTTCATCATTTTTTCTAATATTAGTGAAACAACAATTTGTAAGTTAGATAAAAGTATCAGTTTTTCAGTTAAGAACGTGAACAGACATTAGTTTTCAAAAGTACCTGGATGTGTAGCTAAGTTAAAAATAGCAGATCGTCAACTTTCATATAATAAGATATGACACATGCACACTAATGCTTTACCACTTTTAGAAGTTCTAATAAATAAAAATATACAAAGGACAATGCCAGACATCGAGGCACTAAAAGGTACATGGGATTATGTCGATGGAAAAGATTTTGACAAATTTATGTCAGAAATTGGTGTATCATTTTTGATGCGTCAAACTGCCAAATTAGTAACACCAAAACTTACCATTAGTGAAAATAATGGTAAATGGACGTTGATAAGTGAAACACATATAAAAACAGTGACAATTGATTTTATCCCGGATCAAGAATTTGATGAAACAACAGCGGATGGTCGTGAAGTGAAAGTACGTCTTATAATAAGAGAGATACTCTCTTTCACGATTTTTTGAAACGCAATTCATTTTTTACTAGTCACTGATCAAATTTGAAAATGGTCATTGGATACATACAAGTCGTGATAAAAAAGGCAAAGAATGGGTTCTTGATCGTCACGTGGACGAAGCTGGTCTGCAACAAATTGTAAGCGCATATTGAAGCTTATAGTACGACTAATATTTAAATATTTTTCTTCAACTTTTAGATTTTAACATGTGGTGATGTAAGAGCAACTCGTACTTACAAAAGAGCTGCATAAAACTGATTAAAATCTCAAATCTCATTACCAATATAAACTACCTCGAACATTTGTGACTTTTTATCGTTTTTGAGTTCGGTTATAGTTAGTTATAAATAAAAAATGTACTTAACAAAACAAAATAATAGCGCTTCTAACAGTTAGTTACTGAATCATCAAAGCGAGAAAAGAGATCGACTCATTCTTTTCTTTTTATAATAAAATCTTGAAAGAACAACATAGTTTTACAAACTTTCTCACTATGATCAAATATTATATTTTCAGAACCAAAATTGACTGCTTCTGCTCGGAGAACCGGCACGTCGAAGTTAAACACGGACTTTCGCGAAACTAAAACTACTGGCGATATCGATCTTACAACGGATACTTTTAGCTGGCTTTTCCGCTAACCGTATAGCCTACTGCACACAAAAAGCATAGGGCTTCATATAAAACAGTATGACTTTTACAATATATTCTGTGGAGTACGATTTTTCTGTCTATATTTATCGATATAGAGTTTTCTGCCCAGCTGACTATGGACATAACTGAAACTTTAGTGCATGTCTATGCTTGCTAAACAATTTTTCTGCAGTTTTCAATAAAACGCCGAAGTTTAGTAGTAATTTGTAGAAACTCAAAATTAATAACTAAAAGTTTTTGAATATGTCCATCCCTGTTCAGCTAGCTAAAATTTGGCAGTGTACATGTCCATCTAATGTAGGACTCTAGTGATGAACTGTTTCTTGATGCGATAGCACGTGGCGAAAAACAAAAAAAATTAAACGATACAACATTACATGCATATGAAAAGTAGAAAAACTGTATAATACAGCATACAGAATGAAAAATGTAAGACTACTTTGACAGAATAAAAATATAAAGGGAGAAAAAGACATTTGCACTTTTCTTATATATCTTTTCTGAAGTTTAAGCAAGGATAATATGTGACAAAGTTTATCTCACATGAGTTCTCGTTTATTGAGTTTGTTATGAAGATCAACTACAAGATGGTAAACGAAGATATTATTCTATTTGGTGTAAGTACTCGACAATAATCTCAGCTTAGTCAACATCACAAGGAATAAATGCTTCCTAAAATCAAAGAGAAACAACGACACTTCTTACAAGAATATTCTTAGACGTCATCACATAAGGTGACTTTTTCAGGGAGACTATAAATCCATTGTACACGCTGAGGAGCGTTAGACAGACGACAAGAAGACATAAGAGTCAATTAATACTCTTTTAAAACACTACCCCATCAAGAACCCTGATAAGTATGGAACCGATTTGGACGAAACTCTCACAGAATGTTGTATATATTAAAAATAAGTTGCGATAAAATTTGTAGAATACTCTGTCTGTTATTCTTTACGAGATGTCGTCTGCATAGAAGTCAAAATGGGATATTTATTTCTTCTCAAAAATTGGAATTAGTAAGTTCGAGCTGGTTTTAAATTGTCATATGCGAATGACAGTAAATGGACTAGATTTCGAATTTAGAAGTATCTGCGTATTTCATTTAATATGAAAAGTATCTTACCTCAGTAACCTGAAAACTACCTAAACCTTTTCTAAAAAACTCTAAACAAAAAGTTGGGTTCATTTACGCCATTCTCGTATTTCTTATCTTCAGATTTAAAAAATGAGCTCTCCTGATTTGTTATGTGAAGAAATCTGTTAGATAGTGTCCACCGTCGACAGGAAGATCGTTTCTGGTAAATAATAGCGTATATTTGGGACTAAAATGTGAAACTTTCTAACGTTTGATCAAAGTATCACTGACAGACGTCTCATTTTAATCCAAAATGTTTAATTTACTACTTTACTTCGTTGGAAATCATCATACTTCAAAGAGTCTCGTAAAATAGAAAAAATAGTTTTTTATAGTCTCTAGAAAAAACCGTTACCAAACGTCGATATTGAACGGTGGAAAACAATATATGCTGTGGCCGACATCGGAGTTAAAGCTTAGTAGACTGGAACTGGAAATTTTTAGCTCATCACGGACTGGGACTGAAAAAATACCGGATTTGCTCATCTCTGATACCTATGCATATATATATATATATATATAATATAATATATATATATGCATAGATATAATATCATACATGATAATAACACCCATACATACCCACGTCCTACATATACAAGTATCGATGCGCCATGATAATAGAATTTCAGAATTGAAGGATTCCAGAATCCCACAATTATAGGATTCGGGAATTGAAAGATTCAAGGAGCAACAAGAAACAAAATCAGCCTGTTAGTATTTCCTACCCTTCCCATCCACTACATACCGTCCATTTTGTAGAGAAAACGAACTGAAAAGTGATTTCGTTTTCAGACCACTTGTACAGACTAATTATAGAGTGTGAAAAGTGTAATCAATCTCAAGTATGTGCCACTAAAATTCATTACATTAAAACCTAAGGCTTGGTAAGTTGAATGTTGTTTTGTTACTCACTACCACTACCCCCCTCCCTACCTGCGATTGTATGAAAGAAGTGTATAACCGGAACCGTTACAATAAGCGGAGAAGCAGTGCTTGTTTCTCCTCGAATCCTTCACTTCAAAACTATCTAGTGATGCCGTCCCTCGGTCGGAATGGGAAAACTACATCTCTATCGATATTACTGTGAATATCTACATCCATCTGCCAAAATATTTTGAGTCACCTAACCATGTGCTTGACTTAATATCGATTTCTTCTAATCGTATTTCAGAGAACCGATGCGTCTTAACTCGACCTTTCTGTCTAAAGCATCCTTTAAAAAGAAATTTCTTTCATAATATATTCAGAGCGTAAACATTTATGTCTTTCTTTCTAGATCAACTCATTGTTGGATGAAAATATTTGTTCCGTTTCAACTATCGAAGAACTTCGAACATGTAACCATTTTTTAAACATTATCTTGCAAATGTATGTGAGTGACAGTCGATTAGAGGCAAACATCATTGTTGCACAAAACTGTTTTTTGTTCTCCTCTAGTAAAAGTGAACGTTTGGCAGAAAAATTCTGTGAATCACCAGAAGAAAATATCAATGAAAAAGGCGTTCGAGAAAAATTTCAATACGTACTCGATTATATATCTGGTAAGTTATTATCTCTAAACGAGATAATTTAAAAATTTATCTTATTTTATAGAACAATGTTCATCGACAATTGATATTTATAGTTTACTAGATGGAGATGAGATATCTCTATCGAAAGTAAGTTTTCTCATAACAGTAGAAGCGAGTCGTGATAGTATATTTCTTTGTTTAGCTTGCATTCACGGTCATATTTGTTGCTCATTATCAATCAATAGAATTGTATGACAAAACAAATCAACAAACGAAATCAACATTAAATGAAGAGTTAAAGAAAATATTTGATACACACATGATTGAACCGAACAATGGTAAACGGGCGAAATTAAATATCGACAATTATTTTTCATGTAAGTGCAAACTTATTCGAACTTCGACCAAACAATCTATTCTTTCTCTTTACAGATCTGACTTCATCTACAGACAGTCATAGTATTAAATCATCTATTCTTCCGGTGAGAAATCACATCTATAATCTTCATTTTCAACAATCAATAAGATTCTCATTTCTAGATGGCTAAATCCAATTATTCATTGCCACACGAAACAATAAACGGTTCAGATATGGAATATGATAATTTAAAATTACAACTTCATGTCCTGCAAACACTTTACGATAATCTAAGTAAGTTAAGAACATTTTAGATTGATTTTCAACTTGGATATTATTATCTATTTAGAACAGAAGTATCATGTAACAGAACAAAAATTGTACGAAAACAATGACTACGATTACATTAGAGAAGAACGTGATCAATTACGATCAGAATTACGTCAATGTGAAAGTGAAAAACAACGGTAGCTAACTAGAGCGATAAACGTTTTTGAGGAAGAGATGATGGCTATGCTCTCCATTCTAGCTTACACATTCAACGTCTTGATTTATCTGAATTGACTGATCGAATTCGTCACTATGAAAAACTCGAGGAGCAATTACAAGAAGAAACAAAACTGCTAGAAAATAGAGTATGACAATTTATAGTTATTGACATAAAATCATCCTAGTCTTTTATGTTTAGTTAACTGAAAGTAAACAGCGATGTGAAGAACTTGAAAGATGTATCATCGATCAACAATCAAAAATGACATCATTATCATTGAAAGCAATAAGACAAGATAGTTTAGAAATGGAAAATTTACAACTGAAAGTCAGAAAAGAACAGATGGAGACTGAACTTAGAAGACAAATAGAAATTTTAGAAAACAACAATAAACAATTACAAAATATCATCAAAGGTGTTTAACATTCATTCAGTAAAAAAAGTAACATTTAGAGCAAGCGTACATGAAAAGACTAGTTTAATCCTTATACTGGACATTTTTGATAGAGCTGTGACGTAGAACTGACACAAGCTTTTTGTCTAGAACCAAAATTCAGTGAACCACCGTTAATCGTTACAGAAAAACGTCTTCTAGAAAGAGAACTTCGTGAAATCAAACTCACTTGGTGTGATCGTAAACAAGTTCAGCATGAAATTCAGTCTTATAAAGACACGATTCACCAGTACGGAGAAGCCCTTGAAAAAATACGAAAAGACTATCAAGAATATAAAAAATATCAAATAGAACAAGGTATTATTTATATTTTTATCTTTTAATCATTCTTCTTCAGCTTTTGTTTGTTCTTTTTTTTTAGAGCAAATCAAGATCGATGATGAATATCAACGATTCAATGAACTAATGAAAGAAAATGAAGTATTGAAACGAACGAATGCACAAATGGTATTGTATTATATATAAGAGACCTCCGAGGACTAGTCGAGCACCGGATTACTCTAGTTTGACTTAATTTCTACGTGTTTTATCTTTTACGTTATGTGTGTGTGTTAAGGATGATGAATGTTTGTTGCTACGGTGTGAATTAAGAGAACTCCAGGAAAAAGTTGATAGTGAACAACAGCATGCGGAAACAAATTGTGATTACTATACACATTTAAAATTGGAAAATGATGAACAAAAACAATTAATTGTCAAGTTACAACATGATATCAAAGCAGTAACAGTCTATCGCGATTATGCCGTTAAAAAATTATCGGATATTCAAAATATTCTTGATCTATACGAAATTGAATTAGATCTACAAGAAGAAAAGGAAACAAAATTACAGATAGAAAAACAAGTAGAATCTAACAGATCTACAACATGAATAAATGATGTAAATTGTCGCCTCTATTTCTCTAGACGGCCAGACAACGTTATAAAACTGTTTTACACCAGAAACTTCAGTTACAAAATGAAAATAAAGATCTTGTACAACTGGTAGATGAATTAAAGAAGAAAATTGAAGAGACAGAAGCAACATTGAGTAAAAGAACACAACAAGTAAGAGGCGAAAGTGATAGAATAAATATTATTACATGATTACATTATTTCTAGTTCAAACTGGGTATTCAAAATTTGACTAGATATGACGAACAATTGTGTGAACGCTGTGATAAACTAGAAATATTATATAAAAAGGTAGTGTATAAGCTTCTTGAATATACAGGTTGGTTAACATTTCTTTTATAGACTAAAGAAAAACTGAGAAAATATAAACAAGAATATTCAGAATTACATGACGATGGGCAACAACCAATGAATGAACCTCAAGAAAAATTAACATTATTACAATCAGATTTTTACACGAATCCTGAACCAAAAAGTGATAAACAAGAAAAAAGTTGGTGGCCGTCGTGGATGGGAATACCAAAAAGTATTGAGTATAAACAAAGTAATTGTCCACCGTCAGTAAAACCGTTCAGTCATCAAGCACGATCAATAAGTCTAGAAGAATGTACTCGTAAGTACGATTACGTTACAGGTTCATCTCTTTTAGAATTTTTGAACCGGTGTTGAAAGTATCATAATGATTTACTTTCTTTCCTTCATTTCTAGACGCAACTCGCCGAATCATTTATAAATTTTTTGATTAATATTGCTGTTTATGAGAATGACGAATATATTTTATTGCTTTATTTGTTAAATTTTCTCTACTCTTTTTGTTTACTTGAAAAAGACGAAGAATATTTTTTAAAAAAAAATCAACAAATTTCACTTTGTCCTGATATACGTGTATTTTCTTTTCCTTCTCGTTTGTTTAACGTCAAATATTTATTTATTAGTTTGTGATCTAATATTTTTACGTTTATTTTGGACAATGTGATATTGTAAGAGTGTTACTACTTTTTTTCGTTTGTAAAATATTATGCTTGGAAAATAAAATCAATGGATATTTGTAGAACGTTAGAACACTATAACAAGATACTGATCGGGATGAGTTAATGAAACACATCGAAAAAAAAAATAGACTGATCGCATTCGAATTACCGTGATTGTTCCGTTCATACATCAGAAATACTCAGTAGAATACAGAACTAGACAAATTCTGACATTCGGGTTGAATTTAAAGATTGTAAAGGTTACAAAAAAGCGACGGTAGTTAAAATCTTTGATACGAACGAACTGCTATTTTTCCTCGATCAGTCTAAACGAAATTGTTATTGTTTATTAGTAAAAAGAAAAACTAGAAGTGGAATCACAACTCGATATCAATATTGACTGAGACAGTCTAAATGAAATTGCATATAAACAAGAGAAATCAAGTCGTTTAGAATCTATTCGTATATTTTGATAAAAACTATTCAATAAATTAACAAAAAAGATGAGAAAACGACCAAAGAAAAAGGATAACAGAATAAAAAAATAAGTTACAAATTATCACAGTTTTAAACCACGAACATCTTCGCTACGAAAGTCGCTTCTAGAAAGAAAGACACGTATATTTTTTAACGGTACTGTAATAAAACGAACAGCATACCTTAAATTTAATATTTGACGAACTTCAGATGGCGTCAAACGCCAGGTCATTTTACCCGAATTTGGATCCCAATAATCATGAATTTCTTTTAACTAGAACAATAATAGTTTATTGATTTGATCTACAAATAGACGTTTACGTACTTTTTCAAGACTTAATAGTGTGGCTATTTGTGAGAGACGTTGAAATTTATCACGTATCGACCATGTTGTTGCACTTGTTAAATATGTTATTAATGCTCGCACCTCTTTGTCAAATTGTAAACCGCCAAGCTGAACATTTCATACATTAATATGGTCAAATTTGACATGATATAATTTAACGTTAAACAGTTGTTTGGTAATACCGCCACATTATATCTCAATAGGCGTGATAGATAGCTACTTTTACTTTGTTTTATCACTAAAATGCAAATAATTCTGAATCATGGCAAGATAGACACTTTGTTCGTGCATCAAAATGCAGCGATAGATGTAATCTATTTGAATGATAAATCCTATGTACTAGCTCCTTTGACATAACAAATTAAAGCCATTTTACCAAATCAACAGTGACTTTGGATACTTTGGAGTCTATTCCAATACGCTAGCCATTATTCTTCTCAAAATATGCTTGTTTTGACTCAAGATTCTCATGAAGGATTTATAAGCCCTTTTGTAGATTATTTACACCAAGTTTTATGGTTAACTAATAGAGCGGTTAGGATATGAGTTAAATGTGATAAACAATAGTAAAACATATCTGGTACAACAAACTTGAGGGCTAGTCTTTTTCTTCACCAAAACATGTTCATGCTGTGTACAGTCATAAAAATGTATGACCATAGACCGTTGTGTTCTTCAAATTCAACACGAACGGCCTCAATGTATAGTCTGTTATTAAATTCTTTTTCAGGCACTGAACGCAAATAATATCCACCACTTATATTTGAAAATGGTTCCTTCTATATATAAGTATCGTACTTCCCAGAAGAAAATATTAATGCAGATGCAGCTATTATTAAAATGTCTTTCTTATTGTATGTTAAATACATTTCAAAGAATATATATTTAAAATACAATACGTATTTACTGTTTTTAAAAAGATTCAAAGTATCCAATGTCACGGTTGATTTTGTAAAATGGCTTTAATTTATTATGTCAAAGGAGCTAGTACATAGGATTTATCATTCAAATAGCTGCTACATCTATCGCTGCATTTTGATGCACGAATAAAGTGTCTATCATACCATGATTCAGAAATTATTTGCATTTCAGTGATAAAACAAAGTAAAAATGGATCTCTCAGGGGACGAAACTTGTTGGATGATCAACATATATTCAAGCTATATCCGCACAAAATTTCAAATTGCTACCTATCACGACTGTTGAGATATAGTGTGGCGGTATTATCAGATAACTATGGTACACACATACCCTATTGAAACTACATTTGTTTAATACTTTTTCCCATAATATGACGATTTCATTGGTAGATGCACTCATCAAACGAGCATAATTAGATGGACTTAGGGTACTCTGCAATAGGAAAAGAAAGTATAATAAAAAGAAGAACAATATCGATAGCTTACTTTGAATGGTAAAAATAATGTATCAATTTGAATAATAAAATTCTGTATAAACGGATCATTAGCTTCAAATTGAGAAAATTCATCCTTGAAACAAATAGATTTACATTTTTTTGTAGATACCGAAAGGTAGAAGGCTTACTTCTGATAGTTTATGATTAATACCCATGTAAACATCGATCAAGGTTTTAATTCTTGGTTTAATTGCACTTGTGGACAGTTGTTGACAACCAAAATCGATTAGATCTTTAAAACGATTAGCTGTTGAATTGATTTCACTTAAACAAGTCTAAAAAGTAAACAATAATGATTACACAATTTAAATGATGAATAATAAATTTACATCTAATTTTGTCTTATTCTGTTCAGTTATATTTGGAAATGTTTTTGATATTTCATCGTCTAGTAAACGTTTCAATGTATGCAAATTGTCATAACTTATTTCTACATTATTATACGCAGTAAGAAAGTGTTGTTTCAATTTCTCAATATCTGAACCCTGTAATTTTCCTGATTGTATACTCGCGTGTATAACAGTGTAAGCTTGAGATAAATCAAATCCTGATGGATAACCAGATTTTAATCGTGTATAGGATTGTTCACGATATACCGAATCGATAATGCTAACAGCATGATTTAACATGGCACAAATACCTTCAACATTTGAGCTGGAAATAGAACGTCTAAAGAAAGAGCAAGAAATTATATAAACATAAGAAAGAGCAAGAAACTATATAAACATAATGTATTTGTTTCTTACTTTAAACATTTTCTTAAGATAAAAAAAACATCATCGACCATGTTTGCTGAATCAATAATAATTGCTTTATAAATACTTTCTCTCATAAAGTAATCTTCAATCGTTATATATTGATTAACAAATTCGTGTAGTGTTCGACTCAAGCCCGATGATGTAATAAAGCGTTCAATTTGTTTCAATTGAGATGTATACAAAGTTGAATTTGATATTTTATCAATAGCTGCTTCACAATCGGCAATGAGACGTCGACGAATAAAACGTAAATATAATTCACAACTAGCATTAATTAATGTTATTTCCGCTAACAAATCATCTAATTCACGTGGATCTAATTTATCCGTATTAACAAGAGTCGGTTGTGTAGTGGGTAAAGGAATTGTTCCGGCAGCATTTTTAAGCGCTGTTGATGAAGAAGATGCGGCGGATTGAATACGACGAAATACTTGATCAAATTGTCGTTGACTTTTAAATGTTTGCATTGATTTTTGTGCTTGAGTATCACAAGCAGATTGCAACATTGTCAAAAAATTGTACAATTTACCATGACCTGAAATAATAAACGACGAAATAAAACGCATCATTTCTACAGTTCATTGTATTAATTACCATAATATGTTTCAACTAATGGTTGATAAGCTTCAACGATATTGGCAATATATTCAAATAGAGATGTTAACATATCAGAATATAAAACCGGATAACGTTTATCGTTGATGGGTGTTTTTAATGTTTTAGCTAAACTTTTTTCACCATAATCATTTATTTGTAAACATAAATGTTTACAAAACTTTTCTAAACCAATTTCGTGTAAATTTAATAGTGGAAATATTTTAAAAAAACGCATGGCTTCGGGTAAATTGCCCGTTTCAACAGCCTGATCAAATTTAACATTTACAATTTCTTTTAATTTTTTTTCAGCTTCCTCTAACGATAACAATGCCTGATGTAAACTACTGCCTAAAATAGTATTAGAGAAGAAAATTTGTATTCAAAAAAATATTAGGTTGAGTCTAACGTTTACCTTCCGCAGGATCGCTAGATAATTGTAACGAAACAGCATCAATATTCAAATATCTATGAATATGAGCAGCAGCCTATAATTTCAAAAACCAAATTGTGAAATAATAAATTTCTTGAATTTTTAGCTCACTTGTTCATATTCTTCGTCTTCCAAGGCACTTTTGACCCCATCAGTACACTTCTTCAAATCAATAATGTCATTAGCACGTTGTAAACAAGCCACAACACGACTCTTAATAAGAAATCCATTTGAATGAGTGTTATAATCATATCTGTTTTGATTTATAACTAACCTTTGTAACATCAAGTTCTCGTACTTTACCACTGATATTATCAGCTAATGCGGCTGTAAACGTGATTGTATTTGATAAATTGTGTGCATCTTGTGTAATTATTTGTAATGTTGGACTAGAATAACAAATTAATTTCATTTTGCTGCAATATATACTATATTTCTTTTATACATACGCTAAATTTTTAATGGATAACATTTGTCTTTCAAATGATTCATGATTTGATAACAATACTTCCAATTCATCTGATAATGTTCTCTGAAATACAAAAATTCAATTAGAATCAAATAAATCAATTTGTTTGTATTAATCTTACTTCTCGTGCATTCAACTCAAACAATTCTTTTTCTAATGCTTCTGTATCTGGAATCATTTGTCTAAAAATAACCAAATAAATATATGTAGCCAAACATCAAACTTTAAATAAATCTTCATCAAGTAAATGTCTTTAACATGGTCAACTCAAGAACAGATAGTTACAATAATTAATGGTAGAACAAAAAGTTTAGTCTCTAAACTATGGCAGGTAAAAGACGGAAACAGTGGAAAACTCACCTAATGTTCCCTGCTTCAAAGATCGCTTAGTGAAGATGATTTCAAGTTAAGTCAAGTTTATATCACGAAAAGTGAGAGCCATCAAAGGTCTCCAACCTATAATAACAATGACTCAAGCGAAACGGTAGACGTTGAAGCTATAAATAATAAACAAAATAAGAAAACCAAGAAACAGAGAACCGATATAGAAAAAATAGAAGAGATCAAAGACCTCTATACTTTGAAAGTTTTACCGGTATAGAAAAACAAAGTACCTCTAGTCAGATACTGCTTTTGAATACTTGAAATAAACAGGTTGTAAAAATGTAAATATCTTTTCAATTTTAGAATATGCAAATATAAAACCAAAAACATTCAGAGGCATACTTTGGATAGAGAAAAACGCGATGTTGACTACTACACGCCAAAAAATGTCCGCATAGTATGGTAGAAATATTCTATAAAATATGAATAACAGGTGTATACCGACATTAAAAATCATTTTTTTCACTATCTTTCAGAATTCTTCGATTTTTGATAACTTCTTGTTCTTCGTTCTCAGTAACATGAATACAAAAAGAAGACTTTAGCAATAAAAGCACGTTTACATGCATCTATTATCTCAAGTCAATTTAACTTCTTTCGAATCTTGTCTGATTCGTTTGCAAACGTTTTTCAAAATAGAAAAAGCATTCAAACTTGACCGCAAGAAGCCAGATTGAGATGACACAAGATATCTATATGAACGTGACTTAACGACTCAAAACGTATCTTGACCAAAATTCGTAACATATACTTAATTCATATCACTAAGTAAAAGTCTTCTTCCTATTTGCAAACAATAATAACCAATCAAAGTAAAGCTTCACCTCTAAAAATTTCTGCAATATGCACATCTATATATGCATGCTCAAAGTGTTAGAGTTATTATATATAACATAATAACTAAATTCTAATCAAGCAATGTATCGAAGCAATTCCAAAATTACCCATTTTAGGACATCAAGTTATATTATTATTCCATGGCATATACGAGCCCATGAGAAAACCTGCAAAGAAATGAGAACGCTCTAATTAGCAAAACTGCATAAAAATTAAGTAAGATCATTGATATTTAAAGTAGAGAAACAGCAGAATTGTTGATGCTATTAAATATACAGATATCGCTCATAAGCGTTTTTACATATAAATAACCTTTTTTGATTCATCCGCTCTTTATCGTCTTTTGATTGGTCAATCTGACATTATTCTTGAAGTTTCCTGATACGACTTATTGGCAGATTATTTTGACCGAATATTGTTGCTGCAAAGTTACTTAATACTGTAATAATAACATGCAAATTTAAGCCTGATTTACTGTCATCTCAAGCCGAGCTAAGTAACCGAAAACTTACTTGTTGAGCAATTTTAATCAGCATTGACGAAAATTTCATAATTTCTAAGAACTTTTGGACTTTCTTATGTCCTATTGCCTTAGACAAAGAGGATGGTATTAAGGAGGGTATTATATGGTCGGAGTAGCATTTTTGATGAAATTTGTATTAAAAATGGAATGGACTACTGTTTTCTAAGGTAGAAAGTGGCACTATAGACTTGCTCTAATGCGCAAAATAGTTTCAATACAATTTTTCTTCTTCTACAGATCAATTGCACCCCTATTGTGGTGTAAGTTAGTGACGGCGCCAGGATTTTTCGGGTGCCTGGGCTCAGCCCATAGTTTTTCAAAAATCCGTTCGGAATTTTTACGTGACTATTGCTAGTGAGTACTCGGTTTCGAAATTTTTGGGTGGTTGGGCTCAAGCATCCGGTGGTTGGGCTCAGCCCACCCTAGCCCTGCCCTGGCGCCGCCACTAGTGTAAGTGCGAGTGTGTGATCAGTCTATAGAAGTACCAAATGTTTGTAATCGCCGGCTTAACGCATTAATTGTAGATATTAATGTTGTTTGTTCGAACTTTTTTACGTAATTTTTCTACAACGTCCACTAAATTTGCACCATCTTCTAAACAAACTCAACAGCGAAATGTGGCCCTTATACTGAGTGGGTGTGGTGTTTACGATGGTGCTGAAATACACGAAGCATCGGCCTGTCTTGTTCATTTAAGTCGTCATAATATTAATACGACAATGTTTGCACCGAATATTAGACAAACGCAAGTGATTAATCATTTAACAGGTGAAACAATGGTAGAAGATCGAAATGTACTCACAGAGTCGGCTCGTATTGCGCGTGGGAAAATTCATTCATTAGATGAACTTAAAACGGAACAATTTCAAGCCATAGTTATTCCTGGTGGGTGAGTAATTGATTTACTAGATCATTCATCTAAACTAAGGTAATAGAGCGTCTCGCTTTCATGATTTTAACGGTTTCTTCGATAGCATGCGTAGTTTTTGTCTATTTCAGGTTCGGAAGTGCCAAAAATTTGTCAACATTTGCTTTCGATAATGATAAAATGAAAATAAACAGTACATTAGAAACTATTTTGAAAGAGTTTATTCGTGGGCTAAAACCGGTTGGATTATGTTGTATATCTCCGATATTCTTAGCTAAACTGCTACCTGGCGCGGATATCACAATGGGAAAATTGAAAAATTTAACGGAAAACGAAAAGAAAAGTGTTTATCCGTATACGGGAGCGGTACTTGCTGCAATACAAATGGGAGCTAATCATCAGGAATGTGATGTGAAGGAAATATGCGTGGATGAAAAACATCGATTTGTCACAACACCAGCATTCATGAAAAACGCACCGTTTCACGAAGTCTACGATGGAATTGGTCAAATGATAGCAAAATTAGTTGAACTAATAGAGAAACAATAATATTTATAATGTTCATCTTTTTTTAAATAGATTAGATCATCGTTTACACAGAAACTAAGTTATTTCCGACTTACATTCTTTCTACAACAGTTTTTTTATATTTGTAACTATATTGTGCTTTTATTTTTTGTACAACACTGGAAAACTTGCTTTTGTCTTTAAGACTGTTTGAGCCCATCCTGTGCGAAAGATTTTATCCTATATTTTTTTACAATGTTTCCGCTTTCTTCGCTGATCCAAATTTAGTCGAAGTAAATGTCTTCCGTTTCGCTGTATGTAATATCCTCGATACAGCTTGAGGTTTATACGAGGCGACATGTTTTAGGTTTTCTGATTAAACAAAGCTCCATTTTTTTTCTCTAGTCTCTCTGGATAATACCGTTTGTTTAATTCTTTCTTTTTCATCATCAAATTTTAGAATTCTTTTCGTATAACATACGCATGTTAGAGTAATTCATTGAAATGCGTTCGTCATCATCATTGTCGTCCACCACTCAAATATCACAACAGCAAAAAGACCAACGTAAATCAACAAAAACTGACTATAATGAAAATAGTGCAATAGTTTTTATCAAACGTGCTCTCACACCACGAGCCACATGGACGCACAAGGTAACAGATGTTTATTTAAATTTAACTCGTAAAATATCGTATTTTCATTGATTAGGAAGAATTTTTGGATGCTGTGTATTGGCTTCGTCAAATAATAAGTATTTTTCTTGGAGTTATTATGGGTTTATTGTCAGTTAAAGGTTTATTAGGAATATTAGCGTAAGTAAAGTTTGTTTATCGGGGTTGCTGACGAGATATGAGAAGTACTGCATTTGATTTAGAAGAGCTTCTAAAGCTATAAAAATTATTAGAAACAGCATCTGTCAGTGCCTTGACGCTGGAAAATCTTCTTTATTCTTTTAGATTTGGTTTAATAAGTTCTTTGATTATATTTTTCTACTCAACTTCTATACAACATGTTGATCCAGAGGAGTATGGTATGTATAAAGAGGACAGTCTGTTTATTAGAGTAAACTAAGTCATAATTTCTTGTTTTCTAGGAGGAATACTTGAAGTAATTAAAGAAGGATTTATGACTGCATTTGCCACATTTCTCGTAGGTTTCGCGTGTTCTGATTTACTCCTCGATCTGCTTTGGGATTTCGACATTTCTGCAAATGGAATTTCTGCATTGGCATTTCGACAGATTTTGACCAAAGCAGGAATTCATTTGGAATTTTCTACTTTTTGTAGTAATTTTTTTGGAATTTCGACAATTATTTCGCCAAAAAATAGAAGTATCATAAAAATTTCGATAAAAGTTGGATTAGGCCGTTAATGACCTCTAGTGACTCGTGTTTGTTGTATATATTGTTGTCGAAGAACGTAGTGGAATTTCGTTGGACATGATTCTGTTGCGAAAAATTAAAAAATAAGGCGGTGGTAGTTCTGATTAGGTGTGATGGTCTGATTGGTGTGAATTTCGAGAACGCTATCGAAATTGCAAAATAATTGCTAAAATTGTACAACTTCCATTGAAATTTCGAAATTCGCGGAAATTCCAAAAGCAGATCGATGAGTTTACCTTGTGTTCTCTTCTCGTAATTCAGTGTATTTAACAGAGTATATTTATTTTAGGTATCGTGGATTGTACTCTATTCAATGCTTAATTCACCTGGCAATTCAACGCAATGATGTCGATACTAATATTTTTCATTTTCGCTCATACTATTGTTTATTCGACTAGAATGTATTTGTTATTTTTTTCGAAAGAAATGTTACCAACATCGGTGTCTTTTTTTTGTCTTTTTTTGCAACTATTTTATAAGATGCTCTTTAGCGGATGCGTTTTGATATTGTGCAAAAGACCCAATTATCATTGTTTTTCTTCTTTCAGATGGCAACTAATCTGTCTCATAAGAAGAAAAAGGCCTTTATAGGCATGCCATCGCCGTTGGGCTATGTGCCGGGGCTTGGTCGGGGAGCAACAGGTTTTACAACACGGTCAGATATTGGTCCAGCAAGAGAATCAGGTGATATCAGCGATGAACGACACGCTCCACCACAAGCCATCCAAAAACGGCGAGGAGACGATGATGATGACGATGATGAAGATTTGAATGATGCAAATTGGGATGAGGTATGAATAGAATTTAATTGCTCTATGAGAAATTTCCCATCTAACGTTTTTCTTTTCTTTTAAGGAATTTGGTTATGGTGGAAGTTTGTTTAAAAATGATCCGTATGAGAAAGACGATGAAGAGGCCGATCAAATTTACGATTCAATTGATAAACGTATGGATGAGAAACGAAAGGAAAGAAGGTTTGTTTTACTCACTTTTGTTGTTTACAGATTTCTATAAATCTTTTATTATGTTTCTTTCCAGAGAACGACGTTTTAAAGAAGAAATTGAAAAATATCGTCAAGAACGTCCGAAAATTCAGCAACAATTTAGTGATTTAAAACGTAAACTGGCTGATGTGTCACAAGAAGAATGGTTAAATTTACCCGAAGTTGGTGATGTTAGAAATAAACGACAACGAAATGCAAGATCGGAAAAGTATAGTTTATACAAGATGCATATTACTGCAATTTCAGTTATTTGTTGTTTTTCAGATATACGCCTGTACCAGACTCTCTCATTGCTAAAGCTGTTTCGGCGACCGATCAAGTAGGTGTTTTAGATTCTCGAGAGCAAAAGTATGGTGGTTTTACAACTCCTTATGGTACTCAAACACCTGCCAGTGGTCTCTCAACTCCTTCAGCTGATATTGATATGGAAAAAATAGGTCAAGCACGAAATACCTTTATAACTATGAGACTGATCCAGGTAATCGTTTTTTTTTTCAGGGAAAAACAATATTTTATATCGCTTGATTTCATTTTTAAGGCGTCCGATTCTGTTAGTGGTCAAACTGTTGTTGATCCAAAAGGTTATTTGACCGACATGGCATCAATGTTACCATCGTATGGTGGTGATATAAACGATGTAAAAAAAGCACGTTTACTATTGAAAAGTGTTCGAGAAACAAATCCATCGCATCCACCAGCATGGGTGGCATCAGCTCGTTTAGAAGAAGTGGTAGGAAAAGTACAAGCGGCAAGAAATTTAATTATGCGTGGTACAGAGCATTGTCCAAAAAGTGAAGATGTCTGGTTAGAAGCCGCAAGATTAATGCCAATTGACGCAGGTTTGCTCGAAATGTTGTCTATTATCTTTAACAAAGTCTTACATGTATTCTCTTTTTAGCTAAAGGAATTGTCACACATGCTGTTCGTCACTTACCACAATCTGTCAAAATCTGGGTGAAAGCAGCCGATTTAGAAACAGAAGTTAAAGGGAAAAAACAAGTATTAAGAAGAGCATTAGAACAAGTACCCAATTCTGTACGTTTATGGAAAGCTGCTGTTGAATTAGAAGATGAAGATGATGCAAGAATTATGTTGAGCCGAGCTGTAGAATGCTGTCCAACATCAGTTGATGTGCGTATTGAAACATAAGTTTTTTTGTTCGTACTAAGTGCACATTTTATATGGTTCGTTTTTGTTGTTATTTAGTTATGGTTAGCACTTGCCCGTTTAGAAACATACGAAAATGCTCGTCGTGTTTTGAACAAAGCTCGTGAGAATATCCCAACCGATCGCCAAATATGGATCATGGCAGCGAAATTAGAAGAAGCAAATGGAAATCAAACAATGGTTGATCGTCTGATTGACAGAGGTTAGTGTGATCTCTATTATTACAATACCCTTTCTGTTTGTCAATGATTTTTTCTCTTCTTTCAGCTCTGACATCGTTACGTGCTAATATGGTCGAGATTAATCGTGAACATTGGTTGAAAGATGCAGTTGATTGCGAAAAGGCACAAGCCGTCCATACGTGTCAGGCGCTTATCCGCGGTGTCATTGGTATTGGTATCGACGACGAAGATCAGATTGATACCTGGATAGAAGACGCACAAACGTGTGAAAAAGAAGGTGCATTTGAATGCTCACGTGCAATATATACACATGCATTAAGCGTTTATCCACAACGAAAAAATTTATGGCTGGAAGCAGCTGATTTTGAGAAGAAGCATGGCACAAAGGAACAACTGGAGTCATTATTAATAAAAGCCGTGCAGAACAGTCCGAAAGCCGAAGTTTTGTGGCTCATGTTAGCCAAATCCAAATGGCTAGGTGGCAATGTGCCAGAAGCTAGACAAATATTGGCAAATGCGTTTCAGGTAAGGTGTTTTTTCTTCTTTATATCATTCATGAGTTGGACGTTTTTTCATTATTAAGGCTAATTCCAATTCTGAAGAAATCTGGTTAGCTGCTGTTAAGTTAGAATCTGAGAACAATGAACATGAGCGTGCTCGTCGTCTTTTAACAAAAGCTCGTACAAATGCACCTACTGCTCGTGTTTTTATGAAATCTGTACGTCTCGAGTGGTGTCTAGGCGATCTGCCACGTGCATTACAATTACTGGATGAAGCATTAAAAACGTACAGTGATTTTCCAAAATTATGGATGATGAAAGCACAAATCTATGCGCAAATGGACACTATTGATCAAGCACGTGAGGCTTATAATGATGGTCTAAAAAAATGTCCAACAAGTGTACCACTTTGGATATTACTAACAAATTTAGAAGTGCAAAATCAACAACTAATACGAGCTAGAGCCAATTTAGAAAAAGCAAGGTTAAGAAATTCACAAACACCCGAATTATGGTTAGAATCAGTTAGATTGGAAATGAAGGCAGGCAATCGACAGCAAGCAATGGCCATGTTGGCAAGAGGTATGTTAAGTTACACAGTGCTAGTAGGGGTGAATGGGGATACTCTTGGTTACTACTACATTTCACTAAAAGTGTTTTTTGTTGCTTTTCAGGTATGCAAGAATGTCCTACATCCGGAATACTGTGGGCAGAAGCCATTTTTCTTGAACCACGCCCACAACGAAAATCAAAAAGTGTTGATGCTTTAAAAAAATGTGAACATGATCCAAACGTTTTGTTAGCCGTTTCGAAATTGTTTTGGTGCGAACGTCGTCTAGATAAAGCACGTGAATGGTTTAATCGTACAGTGAAATTAGAGACGGATTTTGGTGATTCATGGGCATACTATTATAAATTTGAACTAATGCATGGTAAAGAGGAACAACAACTAGAAGTGAAGCAACGATGTCAGCAATATGAACCGAGACATGGTGAACAATGGTGTCAAATTTCAAAAGATGTTAGATATTGGAAATTGAAGACGGGAGATATATTAGAAAAAGTAGCACAACAGTTACAAGTTCCAACTTAGTTTCTGTTTTGCTATTTCCTTTTTCATATTAATGTAATAATACATGAGCAAGTGTAAATAGAATTTTATGGAGATTTTTTATCTTTCTTGTAACAAGTGCGCACTTTAAAACTGGACTAAAAAAACGTTTTACACGAACCAAACAAGATGTTTTAAATGCATGAAGGTCGCTAGCGAAATGAGATAATTAAACAGCCACTTTATCGGTCTTGAAGCACCCGAACTAGAGCCCTGCAAGTTACGACTTTTTGACAACTTGTAACCACCTAACTAGGTTATAGGTTTTTGATAACCCATAACCTCGACTAATATAAGTAACTGATTTGATTTCTTCTTCAAAGACTTAGTAAAGAAAACGAAGTACTCGTATATATATATATATATACAAAAATTATTATAAAATCAAATCTATGTAACAGCGGAATACAGGAATAGCGCCTATTTCTTTAGATAATCGATAAACGAAATCTTAAACATGTACAATGAAGTAGATCTGGACAAATGTACATATTACGTACATTTTTGATTTAGATGTGTGGTTGAACGCTTGACTTTCAAACAGAGCGGTTAATTATCTTTGAGGAAATAAAAGCAAAACAAAGAGGTACAACTTTGTACGAAAAAAGTAGTATAAAATCAAATGTTCTATAATAACGAATAGAAAAACGAAGGAACAAGAGAACAGAGGAATAGCGAGCGGAATTTATTCTTGAATTAAATCCTTCGACCGGAACTTATTTTGAAACGCTCCCTTAATCATTGTAGAATTGATTTGACCACGACTTTATAATGTCGAACTAAGAATTATTATATTGTCTAATACGATTTACGGATAAAACAGCAGTTCTTTTATGAGCATGCAATAGAGTGCATAATGAAGAGAAATGACGATCGTACACTTGGTTTTAACATGCATGCACACCAGAGACCGAAACGGGTCGGGTCAATCTTAAAGGTATTGATTTGGGTCGGATCAGGTCGGGTTTGGGCCAGATCAGAAACCCTTTTCGAATCAAACTCAGGTCCATATAAGAAAAACTGTCTGAATTACCCAAACTTTTTCACTCAAAGAAGAGAAAAATGACAAACCGTAAGGAATCTGACCATTTTTCTGAAAAAATTTGAAAAAAATCTGACTAAGATAGTTTTTCTGTAGAAAAGAGGTGTTTTCCGAATGAGTACGAAAAACTTTTCATGTTTCGGGTCTAGTTCGGATCATAGTTGAAAAATTTTCGGATCCATTCAAATTCAGGTCAACGTAAAAGATACTGATTCGGGTCGGGCTCGGATCACGTTTGGTTGACCCATTTCGGTCTAGATTCAATCAAATTATTCATCTTGTACTAGCATGGTCAAATTTGTTTTTTACTCGACTAGCATTTTCTTTAACTCTTGTCGAAATACATAGCGTTAACCATTGATCTTTTGTAAATCGTATATTATCCATTTCGAATCGTTTCTTATTAATTAGAACAGTCGTTGTCGTTTAAAATAGAATTGCACAATATGTACAAATTGCAGTATTCCGTTGTGAAAAGGTTTGTGTGTACAAAATAATTTGTAAGAAAAAAAATTTTCTTTCATTCGAAGAAAGCTAACGAAGAAGTTTTCCATCTGGGATTTTCTATACCCAGTTTAACATGGAGAATCAGAATAAAGCGGTTTTGAAAATCATAAAGATCCAGAAAGATGAAAATTTTGATAATTTTTAAAAATTTCATTAAATCCCATCTAATTTGAAAAGTTCAGTATTTTAACATTTTTTTATATGAAAATCATTTTCGAAACCTTAAAAATGACATTTTTCTATGTAACTCGATGAGCTCTATCTAACTATGATAAAAAACACAACATTTTTTTCTACTTGATTTTCGAACTGTCGACACCTTACTGTCATATGAAAGACCGTGGCATCGTTGATGGCATCCTCAAAGGCTCTTGAAAAGAGCATTCCAAGAGACTCCGATACAGAACGGATCAGGGTCATCCCGTCACTCAATGCGAAAAACAACGTCAGATAAACAATAAGTGTTGTCGAGATAACTGTATTTATTAATCGATTCACGCGCACGTGTATCCATCCATGCCCAATTGTTCGTGAAAACTTTAGAGTCTGTTTTTATGTATCGACAGAATCTTGTAACATTCACTCAAAAGAGTAGTATTTGAGGTAATCAATTATAAAAACATCCATAATATAAATGTAGTTTTTGCTCAAACGAAATACTTTTTAAATGAGCTAAAAGATCATTAAAAAAAATTCAGATAATAAACGTTCTCTAACGCACATTACAAGTATATGGTCTATACGGATTTAAACAACAATTATTAGTTCGACATTTTTGTTTTTAACAAAGCAACACGGTTAAACTGTGATAAATACGTTATCTTAGCTCTTATGTATATATGTTTCATATTTGGAGCTATTAACTATGAGAACATACTAAAGACCCATGACTGCATTTATATAAATCATGTTTTAAAGTAAAATACGTTAGTTTGAAAAAATCATTATAGAGCTTATGACAGTGATGCTACAAAGAGATCTAAATTTATTGCTAACGATTTATTTATTGTAACAACAATAAATTTATTTATTGTTTAATGATTGACCTTATTTACAATGTTTTAATTTTCAAACTGTTAAACAAAGTCAAATCACGTAGAACATTCGTATACGCTTGTAAAAGAAAACGAAACATTTTTCTTATTAATACTTTGATGTTTCCGTTATTTTTCTCGATCGCTTAAAGTGTCAGGATCAAGGCATTTTCATGATATTTTTGGTTCATTTGCAAAATAGTTTATTCATCTCCTATCCGTACATACTTTTACATTTTATCTTGACAATCATACAATTGCTTTATATATAACTTTCTTCAGTTATCTACATTAAAATCAATTTAAATATAACAAAAAAAAATGGATTCATGTTACGTTCTCTGTTTAAATTGGACCATGATACTAGTGAAAAACTCAAATACAAGGTTCTAACTCAAATTGGTTTGTTGAATCTATTGATGTTCATAGTTTTAATAACAATTTCAGTATTATAAGAACATTTTGTGAATTTTCTCGAGGATGAGTAAATCAAATCTCGTATTGTTTTTGCACGAACAGCCCTACAAAGTTGACATAGTTACTGTGTTTTTATTTTCTTCTAGTTTTCTATTAATTATATCCTGTATAGGGATTTTATGTCTAAAAATTCATTATTAGAAATTGGTTTTTTCTTCTTCGTTTTCTCGCAGTTGGATTCTAGCCAAATTATTTACATTTTTTGTGCAAAGGAAGCGACAGAAAAAAAAAATAAGTTGTCAACATGAAACATCCGATTAAAAAAAACCTGTGTGGTCTAAACAAATAGTTTTATTCTAGACATATCAGTGGCTTTTAATCATCTTGCATGATTTAGGAAGCTTTTTTGAGGCTTTTCTTAGTATCTTTTACGCTCATAGACTAAAATTCAGTCGATTTTTGAACACTAATTGGTTCAATATGAATGATCATTTTCTCGATAGAGTTGCAACTCTTCAACGTCGTAGTACAATCAATTTTTTTACAGAACGATGTTCATCATCCTGTCAAACAACTGTTTTCAAAAGTTAAAATAGATCACTGACACTCTCCGTTGAGTGCTGGTCACATTTCTTAGTCTTCGGATTATCTACCACTGGGATGATTTGAATGTGCGAGAGTTCCTACCAATCCTGTTTCTTTGTTCTAATTTTATTTTATTTTTATTTCCGTTTATAAAAAATACAAGAGAATAATTAAATAGGTATATTATAACAAGACAAAACCGATTTTCTGCAATCGAATTGGTTACATATAAACTTGATTGCTTCTACGGCAACAGTTCAATATAATTCGATTTTAACTTTCTTTAATGATGAAATTAAATATTGAAATTGTATTGGCGCCAGTTAATATCGGTAGATGAATTTTCTCAATGTTGAAGAGATTCATAATAATAGTGATTTTGACTTCAAAAATGATTGTAGCGTATCGTAACCGTTAGACCCGTCTCCTTGTGTTTTCACTTATTCAATAGTAAACGAAGGAAAACATTGACATTTTTTGGTCAAAAAAAATCATCGATAAATACTTAAAAATGTCCCAAGATTATTTTCATATATAGATTATATATTTTCTAGTTCTGCTTCTTCTCCATTTCGTCCGGTCAACCATATAGTGACGTTCGATTTTATTTCTTCAGAAAGAAATCGTTATATTTTTTGTATCATTAAAAAACACATCTATATACATGTAAATTTTTTCGCAAAAAGTAAGAATAGAATAATAATCGGAACAATATAGCAATTTAACACATTTATGTACATGTAAATTTATGTTTATATATATCTACACATATATACAGTAAAAAACAAAGCTCGACTATGAGACTGAGAAAGAAAGAAGCCATTTAGACACCTTAAAGTAAAATGGAATTGAAAATAAAAAAAATATGAGAATGTGACCATAAATAGGATTTTATTGGTGTATAAGAGAAACCCAAACTGTGTATGTGTAAGTCTGACGCTTAGTGGAATGTTATAGAAAGAAATTTTAGAGCTATTAGAGGAGATACTGATATATTGTCTGCAAAACTGTATCCTAAATGATGTTGATTCTGCTCTGAGTATACATCAGAAAGACACGTTAGATCATTGTTTTCAAAATTTCATCTATCACCAAAACACATGTACTACAATTTGTTATACTTATCGACAAACGATTTGCTAATAAAACATTTTTTTCATTATATCACCTCTCAGATCAACGAAACGGTATAACTAACGGTTCGTTTCAACATTGTTTTCGCCGTTTTTTACGGTAAGAAAACTCTGTTTTCTTTCCGAGTTATTGACCGTTTTCCGAAACTATTTATTCTTGATTTTTTATCTCAAAAATAACACTTTTATACTTCAGAGTTTTTTGGCTTTTGGAATCACAATTATCTGCCCTGGTGTTGGGGTTATTACTAGTACTAAAAACCTCTTGCGCAAACCAAGTGCCTATCACTAGAGTATCTAAGATATGGTTAATCATTAGTGGTGACTGACTTGATGGAAAACGGTCCGTAAATGATAACCATAAACAGACCGTTTTATGGTATAGATCAGTTAAAGGTGATACAAAGGATGAAATACAGGACAGATGACGATAGTATTTAAGAAATTAATCGATCATTACGTTTGATCTAGGCTGGATTAGCAGGCAGAAGATATATCACTATCTGTCTCTCGCTCTCGTTCTCTTTCTCACGATTTAGAACTTGTCGGTTCCATTGAAGTTCGTCGATGAATCGGGTAAGATGTTCTTCGTAACAAATTGATGTAGAGTTCAGATTTTAAAAATCGTTGATAAGAATCTTTTTCCATCAGGCCTTGAATCCGTCGTTGAGCATGATCAAACACGTCCACCGTTGGATTGTCTAGACATGCTATGGTTGATACACGAGTTTCAATATCAAGATTTACCTAAAAATAATAAAATGTCATATAAAATAATCAAAAAATGTACGAGCAATTCAAGGTGGATGGATGTGCATACTCTAAATAGTACTCTATTTGTGAGTACATGTTTTTTCGACCTAATAACGAATATCCTCTAGACATATTTTGTGTTAACAAATTTTAATATACTTGTATGTAGAAGTCAAGTTACCTGTTTGGGTGCACCAACAGCAATAAAATCGATATAAATTTTTTTTGCTTTTACTATTCGTTTTTGTTCTTTACACGATTTAAATTCGTTACATGCTAGCCAAAATTCAAGATTTTCTTCACTAAATTCTGTTCGTAAAAATGCACGAAATAACGTTTGACCAGCTGAAAACGTAAATAGATGAATGAAATAAATCTTTACAAAGATATTTATTCATGTAATAACTTACATCGATGCCTTAGTAAATGTTCAAATGATTCTTCCCAACAGAGTACATCTTCTCCGGGTGGTACAAAACTTTTTTCAGTTAATGTTGAATCGGTTGTTCGTCGACGAATTAAATTAGCCGCACGAGATTTAAAATCTTTAGCTCTAGAAAATTTAAGAAAAATGACATCATTAAATTGAACGTATTCAAGCACATATACTTACAATGAAGTGGCATTAGATTTTTTCTTATTATTATTGTCATTTTTATTATTTAAATCATTTTCATCTTCGGATACGCATGATGATGGTGCTTGCAGACACAATGCAAATTGTTGTGGTAATTTATTTCTCATACTGAATATGTTACTTTAGCTTAGACTAGGTTTCTATACCTCGACATAGTCTGATGAATATGATATCTCGATGTTGCACGTACAAACGTCATTGTTTCGTCTGACAGGCATGCACACATATATACCCATTTGAGTCTAAATATCTGATTTTTCTCTCTTTTTCTCTCTCTCTCTCTCTCTCTCATTATATCAATTTTGGTGATACAATTTCTTTTCTTTTTTCTTTCTTTCTTTCTTTTGTTAAAACTAATATATGAATCTGGTATAAAGCAATGTTGTATTATTATTATTATTATTCACTCCTACGTATGCTGTCTATGAAGTCTTATCTCTTTATAAACGTAGAGGGTGGTCAGTATATTGAACATACAAGATTAGTTCTTGCTTTAAAAATATTTTCTATTTTTTCATGTTTTCTTTTTTTTGAAATGCCGTAGTTCTAAATATAGTTTGCCCTATGATAACAGCTAAATACTGAATATAATTAATTATCCATTTTATAAAGCAATATTGACATAACACTCGGTATAGAAAATTCAATCTTAAAATTATGATTTTGATTTCATATTAACGTTTCATATACGATCTTTAATAGCTTGTTATCAATAGTACTCAAATTGAAGTCAAAACTATCACTATTCAAACAGATAAACGTTTTTACTGCTAACTTCTATTATAATTGATATTAATAATTTGGTCTCGTACACTCATGAGAATCTTTGTTTTGTTTCGATGAGAGAAGACTTTAGATTTTCTGAATGTTATACTATGAGTAAGCCAGAGCATGACTAATCGAATAGGCAACAATTGTAGATTCATCTGGTGACTGAAGGTTGAAATAAGCCAAAATAATTTATACGAAATTAAAAATAAATTAGTTGTCACCTCACACTCAAATATATTCAACTCTCTTTCTGTTAATTTTACATATATGTGTTTCATGCAATCAGATAAGCAAAAATCTGTGCATATTTTAAAAAACTTGATAAACTGCTTGGAAAAAATTTTAATTTTATTTTTCTGAGCATACATGAACTTAAACACTTCAGTGGTAGTACAGTGTTGGTTATCTAGTTATTCAGCATCATCCTAGCAGCGAGAAAGAACGGATCGCGTCCACTGAAAACATTGTTTTTTTAGCAAAACTTGGCAAAAAAATTCGTAAATTTACGCTGAACAAATATGTCAAATCTCCTTCGATCAGAATGATCGGATATTATCGCCGTCTTTTGCAACAGTAAATAACCTTTTTTTTCAAAATCTGTAGAAGATAAACTGGATTTTTTTTCGGAAGTCTTTTCGAGTTCGGATCTATTCAGCCCTTCTTCGAAGATAAAGGTCGAACATCAGGTATAGTACAATGACTGATGGCTTTAAACTGAATAAAAATTCTGCCACAATATCTGTGAGTAATGCGACAAATTTTTGCTAGAGAATAACGTAAGTCTGTTTATGCATATCCCCATGTGATTGACTATAACGTTTTCCTATGAGTGGTATGTTACGTTATATGATAATTACGAGAAATTTGTAAATAATAATTTCAACAATTAAAATGTTAGGTTGCACGATGGACAGTGCTTATCCTTTTATTGTTAAACTTTTTGAAAATTCTAACGAAACCAATAAAAAGAGTGACTGCTTCTTCTTCATAGATTTATGTTCAATTTGTTGTTGTTAATGTCATATCCATTTTCGATGTATTAGTCACTTGAGATGTCTGATTTACTTCAGGACTATCTCTCAGTTGTGGACATACTTTGTCTAGTTTATTCCATAAAATATTAAAACGTTTACTAAACTCGTTAGTGCCTGCTCCAGCTTCTCTCTTTTCCGCATTCCAGATCTCTTTTTCTATTTCATCATTTGGCTCTTGTTCTTTCTTCACAGCCGTCGCACCAACATCCACCAATTTCTTCAGAGCCAACAATGTAATAACGCTCTTTCTATGAGATTTAAAAATAGCTTTATCCTTCAGTTTCTCTTCCAGTTTTGTCACTGTAAACAATGCACAATTTGTCTTATACTCATCTTGATCA